CTGACGTCTGTGCCTCCTTCCACGCGGATCCGCAATGCGCCCACGCAGATGTAGTGAAGACGTATGCTCGCCTATGAATTCGATATTACTGGCGCGGAATGTACCGCTTTGTTAGGCAGTACGTCCGTTCATGTACCTTGTGCCAACGCCAGAAGAGCTCCCCTCGCACAACCACAGGACCACTCCAGCCACTGCCGTGTCCTTTTCGGCCTTTCGGCCGCATCGGAATCGATTTCTACGGTCCCCTACCATACACACCAAATGGAAACCGCCGGGTCATCGTAGCCGTGGACCACCTTACACGTTATGCCGAAACTTCGGCGCTTCCCGAGGCCACTGCGCGTGAAGTCGGCTTGTTCATTCTGCAGAACCTCATCCTTCGGCATGGTGCACCCAGTGAGCTTCTTAGTGACCGTGGGCGTTCCTTCTTGTCGGAAGCTGTAGAAGCCCTCCTACGCGAATGCAACATCGTGCATCGAACAACCACCGCATATCACCCCCAAACCAACGGGATGACCGAGCGATTTAATCGCACGCTGGGTGACATGCTCTCCATGTATGTTTCCGGTGACCATACGAACTTGGACCGCGTACTACCATTGGTTACGTACGCTTACAACACCGCAATTCAATCTACAACTGGATTCTCCCCGTTCTTTCTTCTTTATGGTCGGGAACCTTCATCGTTCTTGGACACTATCCTTCTGTACCGCCCAGACCCTTCAGAATCGGCGACTTTGGCCGAAGCCGCCACATATGCCGAAAAATGTCGGCAGCTCGCACGTGCGCTTACTACGCACGATCAGGCTCGCCAGAAGAACTCCCATGACCAACGCTCATCTCCATCGTCATACGCGCCTGGAACAATCGTGTGGCTCCGCGTGCCATCGTCTGCCCCAGGCCTTTGCTCAAAGTTCACACGCAAGTATGATGGTCTGTACAGGATCTTGCGCCAGACATCACCAGTCAACAACATGGTTGAACCTATTCAGCCACCTACTGATCAACGGTGCCTCGGGCGTGAAACTGTGCACGTCGACCGTCTAAAACTTCACTACGACCCACCAGTCGTGTCTGTACCACAGGTCGCCAGGATGGCTCCTTTTGCACCGGGAAGTAAATGTAGTGACAAAAATACGGGCTTGCTAGAGACGACGAAGAAGACGTTTGTTGTGGCAGAGGCTAGTGCTGCTAAAACCGCTGGCTGCTGTCTCGCTGCTGTTCGGCCCATTAAACGGTTGCATCACCCCGGCGTGGCGTCAAACAGTATTCTTACATATGTTTCAAGATTCACCATCTTGGAATGTACGCGAACAATTTTAGGTAGTCGACAAGCAGCATCGTGGCAGCACATTGTTCATCGCGAGGCTCCTCTCCAATTTTTGAAAACTGTAGGGTCTTCAAGCGGTATCCGAATAGAATATAGCGTGGAATCTACGAAACCTCCATGATAAAAAAATTAAACATGTGCGTCAGCCAGGCGTCAATCACGCCTCTTGAAAATGAGATGACCCCGCCGAGGTGGTCTAGTAGCTAAGGTACTTGGCTACTGACCCTCAGGTCGCGGGATCGAATCCCGGCGGCGGTGGCGGCTGCATTTCCGATGGAGGCGGAAATTTTGTAGGCCCGTGTGCTCAGATTTGGGTGCAGGTTAAAGAACCCCAGGTGGTCGCAATTTCCGGAGCCCTCCACTACGGCGTTTCTCACAATCATATCGTGGTTTTGGGACGTTAAACCCCACATATCTGTCTATCTATCTTGAAAATGAGATGGCTTGTTTGTCGGGTCAATGGTGTTATCAAGACACGTGTTAGGCATTAATGAGTAACCGGTAAGTGGTTATAAGTGGACCCAGCAAAGAAGGCAGCAGAGCCCAAGACAAAATCAAGACCAACAGCTGAGCAATGCCCCACTTTTTTTCAGTGGAGCGCATTGCTGCACCACCTCCTGAACAAGGCCAAAGCTAATGCCAATCGAGCAGAGTGTTTGCTTGCTAAAAAACTCGCATGCTCGTCCATTGCGCACGTTTCGCTGAAGACGCGAGTTGAATGGGTGAGCGTACATCGCGCCGTAAAAACTCTGGCTTTTTCAGCGTCCCGCGCATGTGCAGTAGGTGTTCATGCTCGTTCATAAGGCCCGCTGAGCCCCTCAGCTAACAACTCTCTATTATGGCTGTTGCTTCGTCGCCATTATCATGTGACAGTGCCACGTTTCAAGAGCGGAGCTACTTACGCCGTGCGTAAAGTGTCTGCTGAATGGGACTACTTTGATCATCATCGTTGAGTACGCGCTCTATTCGACCTGTTCGTCAACTTTCCGCTTCGCTCCAAGAACATGTGCGCCGAGTTGTCCAGCGGGAAACGCAATAACTTTGATAGGCAATATAACGAGAGCAGGGAGGGAACGAAATACGCAAAAGAAAACTGCGAGAAATAGAAAGAAGAGAAGCCCATATACTGTGCTCACCCGCTTATACGCCCTATAGAGAGTATGTGTACGTAGTGTCTCTCATTGTTTTATTTTCTTCTCTTTGTTCTTCTTAGTTTCTCGTGTCTTTGTATATATCTTCACTACCATTGATGTCGGGATAGCCGGCTCTAACGGAGCCTGCCTTACCATACGTTTTCATATATAAATTAAAAAAGTGAGAGATAAAGAACAATGAAAGAAATATACAACTAGCGGAAGAGAAATAAATCGAAGAAGGAAAGAAGATATAGAGGCTGAGGGAATGAGCACAATAGATTCAAGTTTAACTGCAGATAACGTTTTCAGTTTCGGCGCCTCGGGCTTCAGGACATTTCCACAGAAAGCTACTTGATGCAGTGCGTAATTTTATTCAAGAATCTAAACCCATGTCAATATAACGTCTCCTCTAATATTTTCTTGATGAATATATACTTGTGATATAATTGGTAATGTAAATGAATGTCGGACATACGCTTGATTTTGATCGGATGAGGTAAACACAACTGTCTGCTCTACTCAAAATTTCAGTCTTCTAATATAGTATAAGCTCTTTTTCCTTTACTAATTCATCTTTGTTTTATTATTATTTTAGTTTTGAAAGATGATTTGCCATTCTTTTTTTCTCTGTTTTTTTTAGTAATAGGCTGACAATCACTGCATAGTATTCACATATAGGCTACCAGAAGCTTTCATGGCCAATCCCCTAGAGGGGGTATGTGCCAGTGTTCACAGGCAACAAACAGACAAACAGTACAGTAGGGTAGGAAGAGATGGAGTGAAAGAGCAATAGTGAAATAAAATTAATGTAAAGGAGAAAATATTGAATAAACAGAAACTCTCGAAAAGAAAATGATAAACAAAGAAAGAGATGCTACCAAACATACAAAAAGGTGATAGAAAAAAAGATACATAGCGATTATCATCTATACTAGAGTACATCAAGGTGTGTAAAAAAGAAGCGAGGATGTAGAGGGTAGAAGAGGAGGGAAACGGCAAAAGCTCCGCCACTTTCTCAGTCTTCACAACCTCCATTGCGTAACTGCTTCATTCCGTTAGTGCTTCGGTATGATGTATTTTCGGCCTCAATGGCGTGGCGTATTGAGAATGTTAAGCGCGGAACTGACCCGCCACAGGCGGGACAACGAGTGACTGACACACACACAGCAAGCGCTATAACTTCCGACCCAAAGAAAAAGTTTGTGACTTGCTCCCTGTCCCGTTGTTGTCGCATCATTCACGTACTTAGCTGCGTTAATTGGTGGTACTTTTTTTTATTTTGTAGATATTTCCCATCGCAACGTACTTGCACAGCGTTTGTGTTATCGGCTTGCTACCCTCCATGCCGTCTTCGCACTGTCTTCGTCGTGTTATGAATTATGCATGTACTACAGTGTAAATATTTATGAAAGGGAACATGGCGAATGCGTGGCTCCAATGCTCCGGAGGCTGCTTGTAGTTCGTTAAAGCGGTATCAATAGCAATCGCGTCCTCCATTCCCGTCATCTAGTGGCGAGCAAAACAAGCGGTTATTGTTGGCATGGAACTGGCGGCAAGGTTGCAGCCCCCTCCCCCTTCAAGGCAATTACGTGAGAGTCCATGCGTGGATATTTGTGTGAGGTTTAACGTCACAAAAGAGACGCCGTATAGTGGAGGGTTCCGGAAATTTCGACCACGGGCGGTTCTTTAACGTGAACCCAAATCTGAGCACACGGGCCTACAGCATTTCCGTCTCCATCGATAATGCAGCCGCCGCAGCCGGGATTCGATCCCGCGACCTGCGGGTCAGCAGCCGATTGCCTTATCCACTGGACCACCGCGGCGGGGCTGAGAGGCCGGGCGTAATCGCTAATACAACTGCATTTAAAAATGTCCTATCAAACCTACCGTAACGTTACACGTTCGGTTCTGCTACATTGCTTGTAACTACTTCGCTAGATGTTCTCCATAACGTGCTTCACAAAATATTTGTAGTTCTGCATAAAACTTTCAATTTACTGTTGTTGTATTGCTGCTTTCTTGCTTTTTTTTTCCTTTTTACGATGTACACCCCACCCCCTCTACAATGTATTTTTACCTTGAGGGTACCTTAGGTAAATAAATAAATAAGTATCCCAAATAACAGGTTGTTTTGCTAGCCATTGGATGACAGGAAGAGAGGTTGTGATTGCTATCGACCCTCCTTTAACGCTTTACAAGCAGCCGCTGCAGTGCGCGAGCCACGCATTCGCCACGTTCCCTTTGATAAATATTGACCCTGTACTTCACGCAATATGTATTGGATGTTGATTCAAGCTTTTTTCCGAGCTGTCCCTGTGCAAGCGAAGGTGGCCTCGCTGAGCTGTCAATTAAGGCAGCATTTCCCATCGCGTCACCCACAACATGTGCGCACACTTGAGGCAACTAAAGTTCAAAAAACGCATTTCATTAAATCCGGAGAACGAAATCCACCGAGATAAGCCACCAGCTGGCCTAGAGATTCGCGTCGTGTTCTTTTCTGTTTCCTGCCCGCTACCTCTTGAACATTGGCGCAGTGCGGTACGCCTTCTACTACACCGGCAACATATGCAAGGAGCCGAACCCGTTCGTGCCTCTGCACACGGAGCCCTACGTGAATCGGACGACGATGGAGCAGCTGACGTTGCATTACCGATGCATCGGCGGCTTCATGAACCCCGTCGTGTGCGGATACCGGAAGAAGCCGATCACCGACTTGTGCATTCTCTTCGAAAGGCGGTGTGAGTGCTCCCCCACCTCAGACGAGCTTGCATCTTGTAAGCCAGGGGTCTCAGACACGCGAAAACCTTTCGCTAGAGTGCTGTCTTGCCTAGTATTTATACGTATTTTTAATTTTCTATTAGCTACGTTTATCAGCTGCAAAGACAGGACTTGTCTGCAGATCCTGTCGTGAGGCATTTCATCTGGTTACTATGCTAACAATATGAATTATTATTATTATTATTATTATTATTATTATTATTATTATTATTATTATTATTATTATTATTATTATTATTATTATTATTATTATTATTATTATTATTATCATTCATCATCATCAGCTGGGGTTTGAGAAACCTTCCTTCTATGTATGGCGAATGTTCGCGACATTTATTTTGACGCACTCAAAAGTGTACTAACCACACAATTTCAAGACATCACCAAAGAGGCATCCTTTCTTTCCTTGTTAACGTTCTCCAAACACCGGAGTGCACCAACAGGTAGGAAATATTTTCCTTGGTTTTCAAGCTCTCGTCACTGAGCCTCAGAAAGCCAGCCCTACTGCGATGAACATCATCCAGTCGGGTCAACAGAGTCTTACTCAGTTTGGAACTCTGCGTCCTGTATGCACGCTAGCAGTACATCACAAATCGCTATCGGTGTCACTTGGAGACAATGTACTTGTATTTGTTTACCTGTAAAACGAGCAGATGGCAGATTTGACGCTGGTACACCGCGTAGTGCTGTCTCTCCCTGACGTCACACTGCCTGACACGTCACGGAGAAGCCGTTCCCCTTAAAATCGAAAGTCTTTTAAGGGGGCGTCATTGAAGAATATAAGCGATGCATTCTCGGGCACCACTGTACTCTTTTAGGGTTCTCGAAACCAGTATTCTTATCTGATGTAACAGTCCCAAGATACTTAATAATCGTGTCAGAACTCATCTAAGCCCACCCTTCTCTCCCTTCTCCGATTGTTTCGTTTTGAACAAGGCCGCCGTACGTGCGCCTAAGCGTCTTTTTTACAGCAAAAATGTTATGGTAGAGCTTTTCCGTGCATAGTAGCTATAAAGAGATGGAGAGAAGGAGAGAAACGAATAGAAAGAGATAGAAAGACGGATAACCAAACAGACATGAAAAGAGAGACGCAGAAGTCTCTGAAGTGTTGTAGCTCGGGTGGGTTGGGGAACTTGGCTTGATTGTGTTAACGCGGTACATGTGCGAAATAAACACGATGCAGGCGTAAAGAAAAAGGTGGGTGCTAACCTTCCGACTGTTGGAAGTTTCCAAATAGTTGGAAGTTCAGCGCCTACCTTTCTATTCACGTCTGTGTCGTGTTTCTTTCGTACATGTACCACGCCAACACAAGCTAAGCTCATAAAAAGACACATACTCAAAAAAAGAATAAGCAGATAGAAGTACTAAAGTACGAGCATAGCGTTGTATAGTATAGTAAGGAAGGAGAAAGAAAGAAATGACAGAGTAAAATTTTAGCTCCGCCCGGATTAGTTACGTGCCTTACAATCTTTATGTGACCTCGCCTTGCACCACTCAGCACAAGCTGAGCTAATTTTATTTTTTAAAGTTCTTTTTGTCCTTGGTCAGTGCCTTTGATTTTGATTGGTCGGTACGTCTCCCTTCGGCCATGACTATTCCTGACCAGCCAAGATTTAGTCACGCTCTTGATTTCATTACTGCAGGGCTTTCGCAGAAGATGACCATTGTCTTGCATCTATCTTCATTCAGGTTGGCAGATCATGATCGACACGCCGACGGACATCATGGAGATCGTCAACCGACGCAAGAAGCTTTCAAAGTGCCTCGGAAGGGACTTCGCCGGTTAGAACGCTCCGGCATTGGCTAGAAAAGTTTATCTTGGCAAAAGTAAATGCGGCTTGACTCATTCACGATACACTCGGTTTGTAGTTGGAGCAAGCAATCGATTTCCGACCGAAAATAAGGCCTTTCAAATAAATACTGAAACTAGTTTCCTCATTCAAAGCATTTGCTATATTACAGCCAAAGCCCAACGAATACCAGGGGGTCCTCACAAGTTTGATCAAATTATGCAGCACAGAAAACAGTGGCCACAAAAATAATATTATCAGAGGAATTTTCAAAGCCTTCAAACACATGCACAATGTGGATGATGCAGCATGCAATTTTAAAAGAAATGGGTACAATATACTTCTGTTTCTTTTTTATAGTCACAACCACACAGCGATCAGAGAAAGAATATTTTTTCCCGCAAGTAGGTATGCAAATGAATCTTGATTATTCCTATATTGCGCAACATATTTGAGACTTGAATAATTCGTATTACGTGCAAGACCTGAAATTTGCATAATGTGTAAAAATGAGCGCACTTGCACAAGTTTGCTGCCGGCTGTAGGAGTACCATGTAGCACCTGAACAGAGTGGCTTTTCAGCACGTGGCTGCGAAAATTGGCAAGGTAGTGTATGTAAATAGGTGAGACTGTGTATCAAAAGATATTCACCTGAGAAGAGCAAAAAAGCGAGTGCCATACGGTGCGTCGATATTCGTGCACTGTATAACAAACCAAAGCCTTCATCAGTAAACATTTCCTAAATATTTAACCACTCACCAAATTTCCTTCGAATATCACAAAACACTTAACACTCACCAACGTGATTTCCGATACTTAACTTTTACTTCTGAACTCGCCATACACAATGTGCCTCGGGGGTACAACGGTTGTAGCGCTCGACTGGTGACCCTAAGGACGCGGATTTCATCCCGGTCGTGGCGGTTGAATTTCGATGAAGGAAAAATGCTACAGCGCTATGTATTGTGTGCGACGTCAATGCACGTTAGAGAATACCAGATGGTGGATATTTCTGGTGCCCTTTGATATGGCGTCCTATCGTGGTTTTGGCTTGTAAAATCCTGCATGCTGTTACCAGTACTAAGTTGCATTATATTGGGTAATTATGATATATATATATATATATATATATATATATATTATCACGCTTTCAGTATATTCAATCGTCCTTCAATTGTTTTCACTCCCCCAGACGTGACGTATAGTCTTTCTGCTCGAACTGGCGCGCTTTGACTTTTCGTTCAAGACGACGTTCATGTGCAAATGTGTTTGTGCGTGCGTGCGTGCATGAATGCATCATCCTAGTAGGCACGCAATCATTTCTAATAAAGGTCGCGAAACATGGATTTATACCTAAGTAAATACCGTCGTGTCAAGTTCCCCATATATGCCATCGCATGGCCCCAGTAGACTTAGAACATCGCTGTCACTCATCCCGTAAGCACAGAGAGAAACTCCCAAAAAAGCGGGGATGCTGATACAAACAATTAGTCTACATACATGCGACAGGAACGAGTTGCGCTCAGAAGCAGGGTTCCGACAAATCGTTTATCTGAATTCGCGTCAGACGGTTTAATATTGTTGTGACAGCTGCTGTCGAGGTCATTCTATAGCTCTGGTTAGTCAGTGTTAGCCTCTCACCACCCAAATGACCCATTCAGGTTTCCGTGCGTGCTTTTAAGGAATCGCTATGTGTCAACTTGTCTGGTTCATTTAGGGTACTCCGGCTAATGTTGATGCGAGTGTGACAAAATGTATTTCAGCGTGGCAGGACCAAGTGAGCGTCTTTGTTTCAAACGAAGTTTGCTACAAGCTGGGGTTTAAAAAAAAGCGTTTAATGATTTATAGTAGTTCGTACACTACTAAAAGCAGAGTAGAAAGTCATTCCAGTCCGCAAATGCAATGTTCGCGTTTAAATAAATTTATTCTCAAGAGCAGTAAGCATCAATTACAATTCAACAGAACATCACGACATTACACGCCTACTTCACAACTCCACGCTTTCCCCTGACACCCTTCTGGACCAACTACGCACAACACACACGGCACCCGGCACCTCCTCCCCTCTCCTGCCCTACACGGGAGCCCCGAATGAAGCCCTGGACAACGACATATCGGAGCAAGAGGTCCGTATGGCCCTCCAGAACATCCGAACAAGCTCTGCACCGGTGAAAGACGGGATAACTAACTCAAGCACCGTAATCTGGATGATCAATCAATTGCACAGATTACAGATTACTTTAATAAATGCTGGAAGGAAGGCACCTTGCCGCAATCCTGGCGCCATGCCAAGATTGTATTCATTCCTAAACCTAACAAACCCCTTACCATATCAAACCTCCGCCCCATTTCACTCACATCGTGTCTCGGGAAGCTTCTCGAGCACGTTGCTTTAAACAGACTGACTCAACACATGCACGACCACAACCTATACTCGCACAGCATGGTGGGCTTCCGCCCGTGTCTCTCCGCCCAAGATGCCATGCTTCAACTGACGCACAGCATTCTTGATCCTCTCATCCCCGCTCATACTAAAGCCGTCTTGGCCCTGGACTTAACCAAGGCCTTTGATCGAGTAGAACAACAAAGAGCGATCATGGCGGCTCTCTCCCCCCTCAATGTGGGCGTTCGTATGTACGCCTACATACAAGCCTTCCTATCAGGACGCACGGCCGAGGTTCATATGGGCCCCCATGCGTCCCCTCCATATACCCTCAGTGGTGTAGGCACTCCGCAAGGTTCGGTCCTTTCCCCTTTTCTCTTCAATGCCACACTCATTCCCTTAGCCCGCGCTCTTCACAATATCCCTCACCTTCACCACACCCTCTATGCAGACGACATCACACTGTGGACCACCCACGGTAGTGATGGCGACATAGAGGAAACCTTACAAACCGTCGCAAACATTACACAACAACACGCACAAAGCATTGGTCTCTCCTGTTCCCCGGAAAATTCTGAGCTGCTTCTCATACGCCCTTCACCACGTACTCTTCCCACTGCCCCCATCACCGTTACTCTGGACGGGCGCCCTATCCCAGAGGTCGACACAATCCGAATCTTGGGCCTTCACATCCAAAATAACGGCCGTAACACTTTCACTATCCAGAAACTCAAGCGGGTGACGGATGCGCTCTCGCACCTCGTCCGCAGAGTTTCTGGAAAACACTATGGCATGAAAGAACACGATTTGTGTCGTCTCATTCATGCCTTCATACTGAGCCGCTTCCTTTATACAATCCCGTATCTCCGACTTCGACAAGAAGAAATAGCCACCCTGGATGCCATGCTTCGTAAAGCCTACAAGGTGGCCTTACACCTCCCCCCTAACACACAGACCACTAAACTTCTTCAGCTTGGGCTCCATAACACCACACACGAACTCACTGAGGCCCACAGACGAGCGCAATACACTCGTTTAGCTGAGACTTTCACCGGACGCTACATACTTAACACCCTCAATATTCACATACCAGCAGCCGACCCCACACTTATACCAATCCCCCGACCCATACACGCACAGATAATAGTTGAACCTCTCCCAAGAAACACCCACGTTACCTACCATTCGGCCCGCCGCAAGGCCCGTGCAAAAGCTCTCCACAAATACTACGGTTCTGAAGAGGACGCCGTATGGGTGGATGCAGCCTGCACGGGCGACGACGCGGCAGTTGCAGTCGTTGATCGCACACTCCAACCCATTGCAACTCTCCACCTTCCTCCTGCATCCACCCCGGAATCCTCGGAAGAAGCGGCGATCGCGCTTGCCCTCGCACACACTGATACCCGGTACGTCCTTTCCGACTCGAAAACCGCGATCCTAAATTTCGCGCGAGGACGAGTCCACGAGAGCGCTTTCGGAATTCTCAGCTCGCCCACCAAAAACCCGGCCCGCCATGTGGAGCTGATCTGGGTGCCTGCGCACTCTGGAAATCCCGGCAACGAAGCCGCCAATGACCACGCCCGAGGTCTCATCAACCGGGCGGCGGCGGAATCGGAGTCGGGCTCTTCCAGAGAGCGCATGCACCCGTTCAACGAGATGACCCAGTCATATCGCGCCGAACGCCAGCTATACCCACCACCCCACCGATCCCTCAAAAATTTTCACCAAATATTATGGCGTCGCCTTCAGACCCGCACCCTTCCCTCCCCCTATTTTCTTTCCCGCATTTACCCGGGAGCGTACACCCCGTCCTGTGCTCAATGCACTCACCCCCACGCTACCCTTACCCACATTCTCATGGAATGCCCGGCGGACCCTCCCCCGCGGGGCCCGGAGCCACTGACCACATAGGAGGAATGGAAGACCTTGCTGCGCTCGACTGACCCGGCCAAGCAGAAAATCGCCACTGACCGGGCCGCCCACGTCATGGAACTGCATGAACTCATGAACGCATAGCGCAGTGGGGTCGTGCGGGGACCCTGGGACGTAAGTGCCCAAATCCCTTGGTCTAATAAAGTTTTACCTCCTCCTCACGACAGAACACATTGATGACAAATTTTGTGTGCTGGTAGCAGTGGCACTGTATACGCAATAAAACACTGCATCGGTGATTATGGAGTAACAAAGCCAACTAAGTAGCGCCGATTACATGCATATCTGTAAGAGCCGTTTTCAACAACTGACGCTATCTCGTTCGGCAGCTTGTCAACGATAATCCGTTTCTAATATGGTAATCTGATCTTTTATCGAGGTGACTTTTCGTACAACGCTGCCCCAATTCACTGTTGCATTGATATGAACGCATAATGATCGTTGTTGCCTGTGGCAACAAAACTGTTGCCCTGTATACTCAGTACGTAGATGAACACCAAAATTGACGTCAAGCTTAGAAGGGAGCATGGCACAAGCGCGAGAAAGAAAGAAAGAAAAAAAGAAAGAAGGAAAGAAAGAAAGAAAGAAAGAAAGAAAGAAAGAAAGAAAGAAAGAAAGAAAGAAAGAAAGAAAGAAAGAAAGAAAGAAAGAAAGAAAGAAAGAAAGAAAGAAAGAAGGAAGC